CCCCGATGGGGAGGACTGGGCTGGCTCTGCGGGCTTCTGGGGGTGGAACCTCTCCTGCAGCCCCCCGATTGCCTCCTCTCCCCAGATGGCAGCCTGCGGCAAGTGCAGCCGGTCTGATGGCCGAGTGCTGTGATGTGCCCAGTGTGGGTACTCTGGGCAATCCAAGCCAGGACTGCTTTGCAAGCGGGGCACCCCTGAGAACTGTCTGTCTGGGGTGGGGGTCGGGACCCTTTAAGCACAGCCCTCGGCTAGCATCTCCACGCTCTAAGTCCTCCTCTGATGCCCTGCCGGCACTGCTTCCGGCCATCCTTAAGCCCTGTTCAGGGTCCACTTAATGTGGACATGCTAGTTCGGATTAGCAAAACGCTAATTCGAACTAGTTTTTTAGTCTGGATCCGTTAGTTCGAATTAACGTTGTAGTGTAGACGTACCCTATGGCGATTTCCAGTGCCCCATCTGAGCTTCTGACCCAGAGCCGCCACAACATCTACCCTTTCAACTTCTCACCATAAATATTCAAATGGTAAGAAAAGGGCCAACCTAATCCTTTGTTTTGAGGGAATTACCACATTGTTTTATTCTCATGATACTTGACACCGACATGGACGTCTCCATACTCCATATGCTGTATCCATATCTGCATGCCAAAATTTGGGTACCTATTTCTGAAAACCTTGGGATAATGCATTTGTTTATTTGGCGAGTCCTGTGCAGTTAAACCCAATGGGCAGGAAAAACAGTCAACATCAGCATTATTGCTCCATTGCCAATTCCTATTTTGCAAATGCATATCATTGCTTCCCCGTGCTGTCTCTGCATGTCCTGATGCTTGTCAGGTCACTTTCACCAACAGCTGACCCTGGACCTTCACCATGCTGCTCTGTCAGCCTGTAACAGTCTCTCTCATTTTGTATGCTATCATACCTCTCTGTTCCATCAAAAACTTACAACTGTCCAGAGCATGTGTATGACTCCGCTGCCATTTTAAAACACTAATCAGAAAAGGAAAGTTTTAGATGGAGTAGTCATGTTAATCTGAAATTAACTCCAAGATAATCTCCAATTTTACTGAAAAAGGACAGTGCTAGACATGGCTAGAAAATCCCGCGTCTTGAAGGACCAGCCTATTGGATTGAATCCACTCATTTGACTGGAATACTGGTGCTTTTCTAATTCTGCCCTCTTGAAGTTCACCCTACACATAACACTCTCTATATTCTTCAGTGTTCAATTACTTCCACGTAGTGGAGATTATCTGGCCATCTGCAAAAAGCAGTATATGAAATATAGTGTGCAAATTCCATATCTGCCAGAACTGATTTGCTAAATCTTAGCTATATAAACACTGCAAAAAGGTAGTCAACTGACAGTTAGACTTTCAGTAAAGAGTTATGACAGTTTACAGAGCCCATTCTTGAAGCTCAAAGTCCCATTGACCTTCCTTTAATATAGTCAAAAAGTTCCTTGTCATACCACAGACTGCTTGAAAAATATGACCCAATAAATACTGAATATTTTCTTCTGTGTGATATCTGATGCAGGATGAAAGGTACATGGTGAGAGAAAGTCAGACAGTCCAAGGATATTCTCAGATGTCAGAGACAATAACAACTGACTTGTTTTATCCACAAAACAGAAGTGATGGGGGGAAAGGGGGGATTAAATTGAAAGGTGTTGCAGAGCTGGCAGAATTCCTCATGCTACCCTAACTGTACCAAATTACCATAGAACCTGCTGCTCAGGAAAAAGATTATCTGATAAGAAAGTTCATGAAGCTTTTCACAGCTACTTTGTTCTGGCAATTTCCCATCCTTTCACCTGAAAGCAGTGGCCTAATTCTGACCTGATTTACACCCATTTCTATGCAACTGAAGTAAATGGGGGCAGAAGATTTAAGCCACAGCAGAATTTGGCTTTTAATAGCGAAGATTCATCTGAGGTGATAATCAAATATTTTCAGATGAAATATAAAGGCAGCTCTTGGGTGTGCAAAGAAACAGTGATATAAAAATGTACAGTCATGTTAATAAGAAACGGTGGTGAGTCACTTATGTATGATGTATTAGTACCTGCACTAACAGCTATATAAAAACATAAGAATGGCCATACTGGGTCAGACTAAAGGTCCATCTAGCCCAGTATTCTGTCTTCCGACAGTAGACAATGCCAGGTGTGCCAGAGGAAATGAACAGAACAGGCAATCATCAAGTGATCCCTCCTCTGTCACCCATTCCCAGCTTATGCAAAGGGTAGGGACACTTTTCCTCCCCAACGTAATAGCCAGTGATGGACCTATTCTCCATGAATTGGTCTAGTTATTTTTTGAACCCTGTTAAAGTCCTGGCCTTCACAACATCCTCTGGCAAGGAGTTCCACAGATTGATTCTGCTTTATGTGAAGAAATACTTCCTTTTGTTTGTTTTAAACCTGCTATCTATTAATTTCATTTGGTGAACCCTAGTTCTTGTGTTATGGAAACAAGTAAATAATGTTTCCTTATTTACTTTCTCTATACCAGCTATGATTTTAGAGACCTCTATCATATCTCCCCTTAGTAGCCTCTTTTCTCATCTGAAAAATCCCATTTTTATTAATCTGGGATTAATATTAATTTAAACAAGGATATTAAAGGAAGGAATGAGAAGACAGAAAAAAAAACCAATGAGGAAAGGATTCAACAGAGGATAATGGGGTAATTGATATGGTCACATGATAATATCTTATATTGTACACATAGAAACAGTTTATATCTGTCATTATCTGTGGCTAACCACAAGAACTAGATTAAAACCAAAATTTTTTGAAAGATCTGGCTCAGTACAACTTGCTGGAAATAGATGGTTTGGAAAACTCTGAAGAAAGTCATCTTGAGGTCTGTGCTGATTTACTCTGTGTATTCTGTCCTTTTCTGTATGCCATTGCTTTGATTCTGTGCACACAAGCTTTAATTCACTTTGTTTCAAAATCTGACCTTTGGTCACTGTTATCAACGTAATTTAACTTCTCTGAAAAGTACATGAAGCCCTAATGCAATTCAGTGCTGAAAGTAAAGCCAAACCATACTCTCAATTAACTTAGAACAATGTCTGGCCTACTGCAAGACTGCATGTGGGTTTTTCTCCTTTATACTGTTAAGCCAATCAAGACATAATAAGTTGATAGACGTGCACCTGTGTTCCAGGATTTTCTTTTTCTTCAGCTGAATTTACTATAACTACCATCTGATAAAAATTAAAGATTTGAAGCCTAGTAAAATGGAATTACTCACCACAAGTGAACTCTCCATTAGAATTTTGCAAATCATATATCCATAGATAATGAAGCCAGAAGGCACCATTGTGGTCATTTAATCTGACCTGTGAATCAATTCCTGTTTGAACTAGACCTCAGCTTTTAGAAAAAAACATCCAGTCATGATTTACAAGTTGCCAGGGATAGAGGATCTGCCACAATCCTGGTAAGCTGATTATGGTTAATTACCTTCAGAGATCACATTAGCTGTCTTGGCTGCAGCATCACACTGGATGTTCGTGATCAGCTGATTTTCCCTCATCACTCCCATGTCATTTTCAGAGTTGTAGCCTCCCAAGAGAAACTTCCCCATTCTATAAGGATGGCCTCCATTCTTTGTTCCCAAATGTACAAAAATCAATCTTAGGTGGCCTGTGAAATTACTAAATTTTGGGATCCCCTCATGTATGATCCCTCAAATAGATGTGTGGCATTCACCCTGAAAATATGAATCTCTCTCTCTCTCTCTCTCACTCACAAGAATATTATAACGGGAATTATTTTCCTAACTGCCATTTTATCAGCCTACATCCCAGAATCTGACCCTACCAGGATTCACAAAACCTTGGTTTATCTGTCACAAACACTGCGGGTGCCTACACTTGCTCTGCACCTAATTTCTCACAATAAAAGTTCCATAGACACCCATAATTTTATCTCTGAGCACATGCACTGAAGCCTCAATCTGGGCATCCAGACATCTAAGCCCCAAAGTGATGCACAAACCAGACCTGCGGGGCCCAATCTGGTAAATGTGCTCAAGGCTTGTCTACAGGATCAGGCACTATAGACAAACTCACGCAAAACAGCTGGGAGGAGATTCTCCCTCATAACTTTTAGCCCAGTGGTTAGTGTACTCACCTGGGCTCTGGGACACCCCCATTCAAGTCCCCCCACTTTCTGAGGGGAAAAAGAATTTGAACCACTCTCAGGTGAGTGGATGATAGAATATTCTGGTATAGGGATCCCTCAATTTCTCCTGTGAAAGAGGAGTATACATAATTTTTAAAGTATAAATCATTTTTAAAGTACATTTATTAGAACAGAGTGAATGCATCTGGGGTCTCCTATCTCCCATCACTTGCTGTGATAAAGTGGGATTTATCACTTGGTGTGATAAAGTGGGATTTTTATGAAGCCTACATGTACCTTGGTTTCCCCTTTATGTCACATTGTTGCAGTGTGGGGATGGAAAAGGACAGTTTGTTCTCTGGGCATGCCAAGAGACATAGGTGTGAGTGTCACCTACCAATGCAGGCTTTAGTTCCCATTTTGATGGAGCAGTTGAGAAGACCATGCCAAATGCAGTTGTCATTGATACCTAATAACCAACATCCCAGAGGGGCATGGATTCCCTCACCTCTCAGCAGGGATGCTGCCCAACAGTCCTCAGCTGGAGAACAAAAGCCTGGAGAGGTCTGAGGTGCGGGATGAGAGTTGGCTGCTGGAAGGTGTAGGGTCTCTTACCTGGAGTCTGACCAAGGAAGTCAGATAGAGAGACTGATAGATCTCAAACAAAGGGAATCACTATGGCTTAATCTGGGCTCTGGCTAAGCGGAATGAACCTTCAGTTTTGTATGTTACTTTAAGGTCTTTCCATGCCGTGTTCCACTTAATAAATCTTCCTGTTTTGACAATACCGTTTGAATATCACTGGAAATGCTTGGTGAGGTGCATTAAACTAGGAAAAGCATAGAAGTCTTTACCATGTATCTATCTCAGCTGGATTCACTGAATGGAATTCAGTGTGAAGCTGGAGTGCCAAAAATTCAGAGGTCCACTCGAAGGAGACAGTGACGCTGCATAGAAGATGGGGGATCTGGCGCACTGAAGGGTTCCTCCTACAGACTACTGCAAAGCTGGTTGCATTGCAGCGATCCTGTGACACCAGGCTACAGAATCAGACTTGTGCTTGCTCTCTCTCTGGCACAATGATACTTAGATGAAACTACTGAAAACAGCACAATCAGGGAAAAGGAAACTGTGGCCAAGGAGACTGGGGTAATTGCCACTGGATCTTTACTGACAAAGACAGATCTACAATTTTATAGTCATATCTTATAGTCATAGAAGACACCCCTCCCATAGTAAACTACATGGAATCCAATGTATTATTAGGACAAAGGAGGGTGTCTACTCTCTTGGGACTCAAACGTGTTTCCATTGATTCTAGCTAATGCTTCGACCACTAGCCACGCCTGCTGGCTGTAAACAGGAATCACTTCCCTCTAAATGTTGAGTTATGATGAAAAGAAGTAATGGAGTCTTGGATTTTGGAGGACAAATATACAAAGACTATCCACATCAGAATACTGTGGCTTACTTCATTAAAATTTAATGAGTCGTCACCTCTTTAGGTTTTGTTCTACTCGTGAAAAAGCAGACCCTTTGTATAATAGTCCTTTTGCTTAATTGTTAACTGCTTCTCTGGAGACTGCTAGTGACATTTACCTCTTCTTTTCACCACACATTCACTGTAAGCATTCTGGCTTGTTTTCAAAGATGGAAGAATAACAAAATTGCTACACTACAGACAATGCAGCAGGGAAATCGATAGAAGTCCAGCCTTTTATTTCACATAAAGGCTTTTAGCTTGGTGTGATCATTAATCATTTTTGTTACGACTTGTGGTGGGGGAGATTTCTCCTTTTGAAATTAATTTTATCAGTGTATGTTAAATAGGCATTTAAGGAACATACTTACTTTTCTCTGTTGAATATGATGAATTCTTTCCTCACAGTTTCCAAACACTGCTGCAGGTGTACATTCTTTAAAAACATGAATATGTTGATTGTAAGTGACAGAAATTTGTACACAAAGTCACAACAACAGAACCGACGTTGAACAAAGCAGCTTACAAATTAATATGATCAAGTGGCATTTTCATATCCTCTAAGATGTAATATAGTGTACTGTCAGGTTTTTTTTAAAGGAGATAAAAAAGAGAATTCTTGAATATTTTAAAGACTGGTAGTTCTAAGAAATATACACTATGTGAGCATTCAAAACCACCTGAAACAATAACAGAATGTATAAAATACCATAGTATTGGAAATTTGAGCTTGGAAAATGATTATTTTTTATCTCCTTGAAAAGTTTAGGATTTTTATACAAAGAGCATTTAGATGAGGAATGCATAAGTCAAGACTACTACAGAGGAAAAAAAATTAGATTTCCCTTACAACTTTTATAGACATGCAGTATGTGTGCTGCACATTTGTCATCCTAAGTATCAGCTGCAGAGTAAGTACTCCTTATGACTTCTTCCATTCATGTGTGGGAAGTGCATTTGCCAATTGGCAGCAATTTTCTTAAAGAAGTATATTTTAGCATTTTAAGTCTTAAAGTTGCTCAAATTATTTTCATGACTGAAAAAAACAGTTGCTTTGTGCCTTGGTTTGGAGGCATTTTGAGACTGCAGATAAATATAAATTAACTAACATTGGTACTAAATCACTTGAAGAACTGGGAAAATGGAACTTGATTGATCAAATCCTTCAAAGAAAGCAAATGAATGACTACACTCATAGTCTCTGACTTACCAGTGAACAGCTTTCTTTTGTTCCTTCTTTGGATTTGTTTTTTGCAAGTCGCTTTTTCTTTTTATGAAGGGGTTTGGATTCTAAAATCATTTCTTCTAGTTCAAATGTAGGGTCACAATTCAGTCTTCCTTTCTGTTACAAAAGGATACAAAGTTATTTTTTCAGAATACCATTATGTCTTTTTGCTTGCTTGTTAAATAAATACAAAGGCCAGAAGGGACCATAGACCGGGACAATATTCATGCCTGATGTAACTCTACTGAAGCCCAATGTATTTGGCCTAGTTTTCTATTTTAAGCATTCCAGCTGTGAAACAGAAACAGTGACCTTCATTTCCAGTAATGAAGTTCCAAGTTTAAATGATGAAGTATAATGTACAAATGGATAGATAGACAGACAGACTCTCTTCTTGCTTATACAAGGGTAAATCTGGAGTGACTCCAATGAAGTTTTTCCAGATTTACACTATTGTAACAGAGAGGTGTATAACCCAATGAATATGGAGTTTTCTCCACTTTGTTAAGTAACCACAGAAACGAGGCATGGCCAGGAAGTGATTCAGAGGCATTGCTTGTGCAGAAAACATAGACACTGCTAGATTTTTTGAAGAGCTGAGTGTCAGTTTAACTATGGGACCCCCCTTTGTGGTGCTGGGAATCAGGGTAAAACCCTCTGCTATTGCCCAGAACACTTCAGAAAGAGCTGTAATATTTTTATCTAGAGAGAAAATCTTGTAATTTGCTACAGAGAATGTGGTGCCAACATGGGCTTAAATTCAGCACTGAGACCTGCTCCTGTTCCTGTTCCTGCTGCAGTCAATGCTAGGTCTCATCTAAGCTAGAAAGCTATAATTATACTGGCAATCCCTCCATGTGGCGACAAAGCCTATACTGGCAAGAGAGAGCTTTTGTGGATATAGGTTAAACCGCTTCCCTGAGCAAAATACGTCAAAAGGACTTTTTCCTAGTATAATTGCACCTCTACTAGGGATTTTGCTGGCACAGCTACGCTGGGAAAATACAGGAGTGTAAACCAGACTAGAACAGAATGAGCTTGTTTATGACCTTTTCGCATAGGGGAAACCTATTTCCATCCAGTGAAAATGGGTCTGTTTGAACAAGGTATTCAAGCATGTGAGTAGTCCTATAGAAGCCAAATTGTTTAAAAACTCAGAAATGCTTAACAACCTTATTGAAATAGGGCAAGTGTGAGCTCAGAACCATTCTATTGCTATAGCCCAATACAAGCAGCATACTAACCGGTGAATAAATCAGCAAGAAAGATTAAGAATAAAATCATAAATGTGTAGAGTTTATTTTCAACTACACAGGTATAAAACTGGAGTTCCTCCATTGAAGTTGCTACAGACTAGGGAGATGCGAAGCTAGCGCGTCCCCCTCCCCCCGCCCAGCAGACCAGGGAGAGGTGGAGCGGCTTTTCTCAGCAGACACTTCAGCTTGAGAATAAAGGGCTGAGGGAAGTGAGGTGTGGGAGAATAAAACTGAGCTCTGGAGAAATGTTTGGCTAGAGTTTCCCCTACAATATGTACCAGTTCCGACTTACATACAAATTCAACTTAAGAACAAACCTACAGTCCCTATCTTGTACGTAACCCGGGGACTGCCTGTACTATCACTGGGGAGTGGGAGAGGATTTTATCATGAAAGTTAATGCAGAATTATTCTTCTGTGAGAAACTGAGATTTTGAAATTAGCTGCCATTCTGAATTAGAATTTAAAAAGTCATAATATCAACATTTTTACAAAATAAAATTTCTGAAAAGTTGGTAACTGGAAATGTCAAAGAATTTTTTTTTACATTTTCAATATAAATGAAATGATGTAACATGTCAAAATGAGGTTTTTGTTCAATTCCATTTTTTGTTCATTTCCTAGTTGAAACTGATATTTTTCTGAGGAAAAAGTCAATTTCAACAGAATAATATTTTGTTAGGGGGAAAAATGTTGGTTATAAAAATCTCAACTTGCTCTAGTTTTGTAGTTTGATGGAGTGGACAGTGTTTGGATTCACGAGCTAGTCAATTCTAATCCCGGCTCTGCCACTCCTTAGCTATTCATCCTGGGGAAAGTCACATCATCTCTGTTGTGGCTCTCTCACACATAAAATAGGGATAATCCTGACCATGTCTACTTCACAGATGTGTGAAAATTAATTAATTAATGTCTGTGCAGATCTTTGAACACAAAAGTTGTACGTGAATACTCAGTAGCAGTCAACCAGAGACTCAGCTATTGCTGCTGCAAGAAACTTTTTGGCATAAGGACTTGAGAGCTGCAGGCATGAACCTTCCATTGCACAGCTGTGGGAAGAAAAGGATGACGAAAGGGCACAAAAATCCCAGAGCCTGGGCATTTTCAGGTTTGTAAACAACTGCAAACATGAAAGGTGCAAAAATAAACAATCCCAATGGGCAATAGTAATAAATATAGATATAGATATAATTTTTTAAAATGTAACTGAAAATAGTCACTGCTTTTAAAAAAAATCTGACTCTTTTTCTCTGGGAGCAGAATATTCTGTGTGCTAAATTGTTTAGTATACTGAGGTATAGGAATGTAGAAAATACCTGAGTATTTGAAAATACCTGTCTGTGACTTTTTAGTTAGCTCTGTTGACAATCATATTGACTCTAGGGGTGCGTCTACACTGCACCCTAAACTTGAAATAAGATATGCAATGTGCGCAATGCAAATTGCATATCTTATTTGAATATCTTATTTCTACACAGCACCAAATTTCAAAATATAGCACTATTTCGAGCCATTCCTTTACCCTTGTGCAACGAGGTTTACAGGGATGGTGAAATAGCATGCCTGTTATTTCAAAAAATATTTCAAAATAATGGAAGCAGCCCTTGGATGCAGAGTACATGTACCATACGAATAAGCAAACCATGTCAAATCTGATAAGTCATTCCTTATCATACAAACTGATATTTTTAAATGACCTAACAAACAATGCCTGTTCCCACACATTGTGTACCTACGGTCTCTTTGAGTCCATGCTATTTTTTAAATGTTTCAGCTATTGGCTGAACAGATCCTCAATTCATGTACTGATGTACTATGGGTCAAGGTAAAACAGTCAATCACTCAGTGATTCTTTTGGAGAAGTGTGTGTATGTGTGCATGTGTGCGTGCGCAGACATTGCTTAAGAGCAGCCTTGACTCACAGAAACAAAAGAGATGTAAATTGTTATAATTACTATGGATTTCAGCAAAAATTCATAGACGTAATTCAAAGAGTGAATGTAGATCTAGTTAATTTAGGGCGGGTCCCCACTAGCATCTCAAGAACTGATTGACCCCTTCTTGTTACAATGAAGTGCTCCTCTTCCTTCTCCCAGGCTTATTTATACTTATGAACAATGATAAAAATTTTCAACAAATTTGTTTTTTGCCTTTTTTATCCAGTTTTGTTTCCAGCACCACTGAATGAACTGTCTCCTTTTCTACACATTTCACTTATGTATTTTAAAATGAGTTCTGCACCCCTAATTTGAGTTTGTGGTTCACATGCAAGATCTAAAGTCACTTGATCACATCAAGGGGAGAATAAACAAACAAGGAATCAGTTAGAGCCCTTCACACACAATGCCTTTTCCTTTGCCGAACACTCTCCTGGGATCTGAATGGCAGCAGAGAAAGTTCACAGGAGGCTAAGGAAAACCTATTTTATTTATAAGGTTCCTTTTTCTCTTTCTGTCAGGGCCATGAAGTGGGTTGAATGACCTAGTGGCCAGAACCAGGAGAAAATTCAGGATTGTGTCCATGCCAAGGGTCAAAGCCAACATCAGCAATGAGGGGCAGAGTGAGGAAACAGGAAAGCTATCAGGAACCAAGCAAGGAGGCAAGGTCTTGCTCTGAGGTTTATGTAGCCACAAACCTAGCAGGTAGGTGCTCATACAAGGGGTCAGATAGGAAGAAACTTTATACTCAAATGGTGTCCAGTCAGCAATTTGTTGTTAATCATCTGACTCCACTGGGAAAACAGATGTAGCTTTCGATATTAACAGCAGTTCCCTCATCAGCCCTAGTAGCTTGCTGGCACAGTAGCCCATTAATCTAGGATTTGACACTCACGACATCCATTCTTAAGATATTTCTCCAGTTTGTGGGCATGACAAAATCTTTATTTATTTTGAAAACACGGGTGAAACTAGTGAACTTGAAAGTAGGAATAAGAGATCCTCTGGAAAAGGGCTTTATTCCGGAGGCTCACGCCAGTCTAGACACTTTTTTCCGGCTTTTCCCCAAGCCGGAAAAAAAGCGGCGGACATGTTTATTTAAATCCCGCGGGGGATATTTAAATCCCCCGCGGATTTCCCTATTCTGACTTACCTGCTTTGCATGACTTTTCCGGAATTAGGGGCCAGTCTAGACGTAGCCTCCATGTGTAGAATAACTTTTGTTATGTGCACCAATATGGAGGTGATACACAACAGCATTTCTGGACCCCTGAGCAAGGTGAGGGGTGGCTCTGTGGTCTGGGAAGGGCTGGAGCCTTGAGTAGAAGGGGCAAGGCAGAAGACCAGCCTTCCCCCACCAGCCTTCAGAGCCATCCAGAGTGCCATCCAGAGCAATGGCAGTGAATTAAAGGGCTTGGGTCCAGCAAGGAGCCCAGGGCCTTTGATCACCAGGTCCTGGGGAAGTGCCCTCTTTGGCTTCCCTGATGGCAGGCCTGGTGACAAATCACCTCCATATTAGTGCACATTCACGTAAAAAAATTGAGGGAATACTGTCTGATTAAGGATGTTAAGTATTGAGTAATTCACTAATCGAATAGTCAATGCATTTTTGAATTGACTAGTTGACAGGGCAGCACCACACAGCTGATCCCAGGCTCTAGGTAGCTGAACCCAGGCTCCACTTGGCGCTGCAGCTGTGCAGCGCTGCCTCTTTGAAATGCTGCGGTGGCATTTCAAAATGTTAGCGCCACATAGTGCCCGGGCCCCCCCTGTTGCTTTGAAGTACCCCTCTCTTACCTCTCCTTTTACCTTCCTTTGAAGTATCTCCTTCTTAGCCCTTCTTTGAAGTACCTCCCTTTTACTTTGAAGTACCTCGACTATCCTGTCGACTATCTGATAACACTGGTCTACAATTTTTTAGAAG